ATTGCTGTGCATCGCCACCTCTCTCCTATTATAGCTCAGTGGTCACTCTTGGAACATTTGTAACGTAACTACATAAATGCAAGCTGTTAAGAATCGTTAATTTCCCATTTCTGTAATTAATAGCCAGAATTTTATTTCTGATTAAACTAAAATACTAAAATTTTATGCTATAGAATAAAACAGTAGGTTTCCATTTCTCTTGAACTATCTTAAGTTATAGTTTTGCTAATTTTAACCTGCTGAATGTTTTATTAGTGCTTTCAGGTCACTGTTGTTAGGCTAGTTTCCCTTTTATTTGGAGTAGTGATTTTTTTCTCTTTATTTAAGTGCATTTTGTGCAGCATTCAGTCATCTGTATTTCATAAATTACAATTCTGAATTTGCCAAACTTGGTTCACGTATGCACTAGCTGTGCTATAAGGTCTGTCAGTCTTAAATTTGTAAACAACTGCTTCTGAGAGTGAGTTTTCCATATTATGGATTTGCATTTTAATATTTTGTTGAGCTTAATTTTGACTTCATGCAAGTTGTCAGTAATACATTCCATACTAATAAAGTATATATCGCTACCATGTAGAAAAAAAAATCCAAATTCTGAATATGCAGTTTACCTAAAGCTCTCTGGTAAATATTGTTTTATGTAATCTTTTTGTCTTGATATCCAACTCAAGACTATATTGAAGAACTATTCCAGTTTAATGTTAGGGAAATGCCAAGATCTTTATCCTGAGTCATAGCTTTCCATTCTAGGATGGCACACTATTTGATGGAAGACCCATCGAGTCCCTGTCTTTAATTGATGCTGTAATGCCTGACGTGGTGCAAACAAGGCAGCAAGCTTATAGAGACAAGCTGCAGCAACAACAAGCAGCAGCAGCTGCTGCCGCTGCCGCAGTTAGTCAACCAGGTGCTGCAAAGAATGGAGAGAATACTGCAAATGGAGAGGAGAATGGAGGACACACAGTAACTAGTAAGTATAAATGAGAACTAAAATGTACACTTTCAGTTATGCTTTTCCATGGAATTCTTTGTATCTTTCGGGAAAAGTTTTAATTGCTTGGCTTGGGCACTTGTGAAAAATTGGATTATGTGCATTTCTATAGTCAGTTTCTTCTGAAGTCAAATGAGCAGTCCTTAAAATTCACTTTTCAAGTGGCATATTGCAATTTTTTAACTTGCCATATGAGAGAGCCAGGTGGAACATGGTGGCTAAGGATGGCATGATGGCTCAGTGGTTAACACTGCTGCCTTACAGCGCCAGGGACCCGGGTTCGATTCCAACCTTGGGCAGCTGTCTGTGTGGAGTTTGCACATTCTCCCTGTGTCTGCGTGTGAGTTTCCTCCAGGTGCTTCGGCTTCCTCCCACAGCCCAAAGATATGCAGGCTAGATGGATTGGCTGGATGACCTTCTTCCACACTAGGGTTCAATTCTATTCTTTGCTCTGTATTAAAACTGTAACCCGCTGTCAGTCATTGCTGTCCCCTTTTACCAGTTGTCCTCTACTTCATTTTGCATTTATTTGATAACCTCCCCCAGCTGGCAACATAGCAGCCAATCAGCAGGTTATCTCATGATCCACAAATGGATTCTGAATGTGTGAAAGGTGCTCATTGCTCCCTCTTCCATTCACAATTCAGCCACAATTTAATTTTTAGGTCCTAGTGTCCTGTAGTCTTTTATCTGAAACAGATTGCATATCGTTCTACTTGCAAGTGAACATCTTTCTTAGGAATTTAAATAATATTGCAAAGAAGAAATGTAGTATTTGGACTTGTCTGTAGGCTCAGTTCTTTCAGTGCTCTCTTGCAGCTTCCCTAGAGACCAGAGTCTATTCAGATCTAATGTTGAAACCAATGTGCTTGATATAAGGAATGTTTCTAAAGTTTGAGGTGATACACAAGTAAACTGATCATTCAAAATGTGAAACACAACTGACTTCTGCTTGTCCACCAAAGCTGATTGATGCAAATATATCCAGCTTTTTGATTTGTTTTGCTTTCAGATTTCTAGCATTTGCATTGTTGAGCTTTTTGTTTGATGTAAGGTTGTGTTGTTTATTGTATTTCTCACTGATTCATATGGTAAGCAGAAATAAGAAATAAAAGATCTTGAACTTGACATGCCCTTTGAAGGCATATTTACCTCTGAGAAAGCATAAAATATGGTTAATTTCAAACCAAAAAGTAATTGTTTCTAAATAAAATTCTACTGATCAATACAACCAATTTATGTTTTGTTTTGTACTTTAAATAAACCTAAAAGTGTGAGGTGATTCACTTTGGAAGGAGTAACAGGAATACAGAGCACTGGGCTAATGGTAAGATTCTTGGTAGTGTGGATGAGCAGAGAGGTCTCGGTGTCCATGTGCATAGATCATTGAAAGTTGACACCCAGGTTGATAGCGTTGTTAAGAAGGCGTACGGTGTGTTAGGTTTTATTGGTAGAGGGATTGAGTTTCGGAGCCATGAGGTCATGTTGCAGCTGTACAAAACTCTGGTGCGGCCGCACTTGGAGTATTGCGTACAGTTCTGGTCACCGCATTATAGGAAGGATGTGGAAGCATTGGAAAGGGTGCAGAGGAGATTTACCAGGATGTTGCCTGGTACGGACGGAAGGTCTTATGAGGAAAGGCTGAGGGACTTGAGGCTGTTTTCGTTAGAGAGAAGAAGGTTAAGAGGTGATTTAATAGAGACATACAAGATGATCAGAGGATTAGATAGGGTGGACAGTGGGAGCCTTTTTCCTCGGATGGTGATGGCTAGCACGAGGGGACATAGCTTTAAATTGAGGGGTGATAGATATAGGACAGATGTCAGAGGTAGCTTCTTTACTCGGAGAGTAGTAAGGGCGTGGAATGCCCTGCCTGCAAAAGTAGTAGACTCGCCAACTTTAAGGGCATTTAAATGGTCATTGGATAAACATATGGATGATAATGGAATAGCGTAGGTTAGATGGGCTTCAGATTGGTTTCACAGGTCGGCGCAACATCGAGGGCCGAAGGGCCTGTACTGCACTGTAATGTTCTATGTTCTATGATGTTTTTACATTATGAAGAAATCTGAAAAGGGATGTTTTAAAAGATATTCCATAAATTGTAAATAATTCATCTTATTGTTTTGTACTAAATAATTGGTTCAAGTTCAGCTGTATTGTCCAGATTTATTTAAAGGTGCTTTTTGCAGTTAGAAACTTTAATCAAATGCATTTAATTTAAATTGCCGGAATGTCACTATTGATTTAAAAACTTAGGCATGATTCAAGTAGTGAATTTCAGATATTCCAATAGATATTTGACGTTTTAGATTGTTTACATTAATCTTTCAGTCCATTTTTTTTTCCATTCTAATTGCTCAAAAGATGTGAATTCTCTTTTTATTTTTTATCCAAATAGATAACCATACAGATATGATGGAAGTTGACGTAGATGTGGATATACCATCTAATAAAGCTATGGTGTTGCGTGGTCATGAATCAGAGGTTTTCATATGTGCCTGGAATCCAGTCAGTGATCTCTTGGCATCTGGGTAGGTTTAAAAATATTATTGATGACTGTTTATATATTAATGGCTAAACCATATCAGATTGTTTGATAAAGTATTGGTTGTTTTATAGTCATCTTCAAATGCATCAGAATTTATAAAATATCAACATTGTAAGCTCTTTTTGTCAAAGTTTGATAAATGTTATTCAATGCAAATTGTTTTCAAATGTTCCTCATATTTGAGAAAGCACTCTGTTGCAATTTATAACTTGCAGCTTAAATTTTAAATTTAAAATCACATTTATTCTCCAGGTCAGGAGACTCAACAGCACGGATATGGAATCTTAGTGAAAATAGTAGTGGTGGCCCCACTCAGCTAGTACTTAGGCACTGCATAAGGGAAGGAGGACAAGATGTACCAAGCAACAAAGATGTCACATCTTTAGACTGGAATGTAAGTGATGAATCTATCCAATCTTTACTATGTAGAATTATCAATGATTTAAGCAATTGTATTGTAAACATAAATTATAAATAGGTAGATATGTAATTCAACAATTTAAAATGATTAGATATTCCTAACTTCTTCACAAAGATTCCTACTTGCTGGCAAATTGGGAATTTGTATGCATCAAATTTTTACAAAGGACATTCTGGGCATCATTTCCTAGCATAATTTAAATTGGGCTTCTCTGTGTTCTTTGACTCTGAAAGCAGTCAATCCTGTGCATTCAACACTTTATTGGTGTATTTGTGCATTACATCTTTATTTATACTAATTGTCACTGACCAAAAAATTATTTTGCATTCAATTTACTAAACTATATATAATAATGTAATGTACATGTGGCACAATGCATGCACAAAAATGTCATTGCCTGAGTTATATGTTGAGGGCAGGATCCTTACACCCTGGGGATGGGCCAGCCATTGCTTAGCTGCCTGCCTCCGTTTGTTAGTTTGGGCAGTGGCTTTTTAATTAACATGGGAAGGGACTTCCATTAATTTCTAGAAGGAGATTCCTCCCAGAGCTGCTGGCCAATCAGAGGCTAGCAGCATTGCACAATAGCATCCTAGGATATTAAAAGTAGTAAGTGCAGAGAGAGTGGATGCGCAGGTAATAATCTTCCAGGAATACTTAGAATCTTAAAAAGTGTCAGAGGATTGGAAAACATCCAATGTAACAAGTTTGTGTAAAAAGGGAAAGAGATTTTAAAAACCAGTAACTATTGGCCAGTTAGCTTAATATCTCTTAGTGGGAAAATTTTAGTCTATTATAAAAATGCAATAGCAGAAAATTTAGAAATACATAATATGATGAAGCAATATTAGCATGGCTTCATGAAGGGGAAATCATGCCTGGCAAGTGTACTAGAATTCTGTGAGAAGATTACAAACAGAATAGGTAAAGGGGAAGCAATGAATTCAACAGATTTGGATTTTTAGAAAGCATTTGATAGGGTACCACAGATTAGGCTACTTAATAAGGTAAGAGCCCATAGCGTTGGAGTAGTATATTACCACAGACAGAGGATGGGCTAACTAATAGAAGACGGCGATTTGGGATGGGAGGATCATTTTGAGGATGAAAATGACTTGTAACGAGTGGAGTGCCACAGGGGTCAGTGCTGACGCCAAAACTGTTTACATTATATATTAATGATTTCAAAGAAGAAAGTGAATGTACAATAACTAAGCATATGGATGACACAAAAGTGGGTGAGAAAGTAAGTGCTAAGGATGAGGCAGAGAGTCTGTGGAGGGATATGGACAGGTTAAGTGAGTGGGCAAGAACTCGATAGATGGAATTTAATGTGGGCAAATGTGAGTTAAGCACTTGGACAGGAAGACTAGAAGAGTTGAATATCATTAAATGGGAAAAGACTGCAGAAAGCTACAGCACAGATGGATTTGAGAGTCCTCGTACAAATTTAAAAAAAAAACTGGCATACAATTTTAACAGATAACAGGGAAGGCAATTAGTGTTAATAGAATTCATGATTATTATTCACCGACTTGCTGACAATGTAATTTGTTACAACCTTAGTTGGATGTAATTAAGGTTATTTTCCATTGTCTTAGAGTGAAGGCACACTTCTAGCAACAGGTTCGTATGATGGATTTGCAAGAATATGGACAAAAGATGGTGAGTTTTATTCTTTATTTACTTGTGCCATTTTTATTTAATTCAATTTCTGTCATGCGTTGTGCTACATATATTATAGATCTACTTAGTTCCTAGAACTCACTCATGAAGTGGCCTCTAGGAAGGCAGAAAACCCAGTTAAGAAAAATTTATTTTGCATTTCCCTTTTCACATGACCACTGAGGCAATGCTTAGTTTTGTTGCTTCTAGTAATTTTTCTCATTAATTTGCAGGATTATCTGAAACTGTAGGAAGAATTGCACCACCAGTCATATGTTCATACCAGTGGGTTCCATTAACACCCAGAACGATTGCCTAATCAAAAACAAAAACACAAATTGCTGGAAAAAACTCAGCAGTTCTGGCAGCATCTGTGGAGAGAAAACAAGAGTTTAACATTTTGGGTCCAGTGATGCATTTTCAGAACTGTTCTGAATTAACTGAAGATGAATTCTGAAAACAAATAGAATGCCCAGCATCTTAGGTGGATCTTGACTTTTCAGTTTCATTAAAGAAATAACTAAACCTGATGTACTTTCCAATTTTTCTTTCCACTATAATGTGGCTTTACTGACATTTCAGTAATATAAATGTACCACTGCCAAATATATACTTCGTAATTGTGTTGGTAAGTTCCATGGTTTCAGCTGCTTACCTCCAAAGAAAGATTTGTAGGTGATAGGAAATTGAATTGCTGTGCTTTTAACCAACAATGGAGTCCATCACAAAACTGTAGATCCAGTACTACTGTGAAGATTCTTTTATAATAATTAGTTTAAAACTAATGTCAACTTTACCTTCAACCTTTGACTTTATAAATAGCTTCTTTCACTGTAAAAATTGCCAATACAAATCTTGTAACTCACTTCTCGCTGTTTTCATTTTTTTATAATGTATTCTTTGTCATTCTTTCAGGTAACCTTGCTAGTACCTTGGGTCAACACAAAGGACCTATATTTGCATTAAAATGGAACAAGAAAGGAAATTTTATCCTTAGTGCAGGAGTGGACAAGGTAAGATTCTGAAATAATTTAATTACTTCAACAGAAGTAAGGCTTTATTGCTTCTGAATAATGCATTCATTTTTGTATCTGCTTCTTGTTACTAATACATTAATTTTATTTAATGAAGACAACAATTATTTGGGACGCACATACTGGAGAGGCCAAGCAGCAGTTCCCTTTCCACTCCGGTAAGCTTTTAGAAAATTTTAAAATTATCTCTAAAACAACCTTATTTAAATTTGCTTATTCTGATTAGGAATTGTTTTAGCACAGGATATGGCTAAGAGCTATTTGATTCCTTCCCTATTTGCAGTATTAATGAAGCCTCTCACATTTGAATGGTATTCTGGGAATGTTCATTAAGTTTGGTAGATGACCTTAATTGCAAACAGTGACTTGCTGAAAGACTGCTGTTTGTGAATAGTAGAAGTCTGTTGAAATTTATAGGTTGCTGCCACCCAAAATTGCACATTACAACCTCACAATTTTTGCTTGGCTTTTTCTTAAAAAGAGAAGTTTGAAGTACTATCCAGATTTCTCTTCACATATTTGCCTTGATATTACATGTTTTTATTGTTCTAAAATCAGTGTCTGTAGATTAATTATGTAAATGAAAGAAAGCTCACAAACATGAGCAGTGATATAAAAGCTATTGTTTTTATTCTTGCGTGGAATATGTGGGTTGCTGACGAGGCTCGTGTTTGCTGCCCTGCCCTAATTTCCCTTGATTTGGTTGGCATTCTAGACTATTTCAGAGGGCAGTTGAGTCAACCACATTTCCGTGGGTCTGGAGTCACATGTAGGCCAAACCAAGTAAGGATGGTAGGTTTAGTAAACCAGATTTTTTTTTGCTTAATTTAGGCTGGAAATCAGAGTAGCTTTCTTACAGTTCCAGATTTACAATGTTTCATGGTATGTTTTGAACCCGTCTCCAGAGCATTAGCCCAGGGCTATGGATGACTAGTCCATGGACTGTGCTGCTAAATCCACCACTTCCTCTTTTAATACAAATGAAAAAAATCGAGAGATGGGTTGAAACTGCGTTAATTGGGCAAACAAATTAGTCAAAGAGTCCAGGATACTGTGAAACAGGACTCATAGCCACTTCCCTACCTGCAATATTATTTACCTCTCTTCAAATCATTGAGTAATTTCCAACACAGGAGGAGACATTCAGTCTGTTAAGTTAATGTCAGCTCTTTGTAGAGCAGTCCAGTCAATTCCATTCGCTTACTCCAACTTCACTGTTTGGCAAGTTTATTTATTTGAGTACACCTCCAATTTGATTTGAAATCATTAACCATCTCAGCTTCCACCTCCCTCGAGATTAGTCTCTTTGGGAAAAAATAATTAGACGTTAGTTTAGTTAGACCTATCTTATCCTTTTTAATTCCATGCTGACTGTCTCTGAACCATTCATGTTGCCAGCATTTGTTGTATATCCTTAATTGAAGGCAGTCAAAAGTCAATCACATTGCTGTGGGTCTGGAGTCAATATGCAAGGACAGTAAATTTCCTTCCTTGAATGACATTAGTGAACCAGATGTATTTTCACAACATCGATGATAGCTGTTGTGCTTACCATTCTGAGGCTATTTCAAATTTATTAATCGAAAGTAAGCTACAAAAAGAAACTTTAGCAATGAAATAAATTTTTAAAAAATTGTCTCTAAAACTGATATTTTAGTCAGAATAGTTTCAGTATTTATTCTAGTGCCCAATTTTCAATTTGCATCCGTCCAATTTTATGTAAGATAATGGAATGTAAATCTCTTTTTCTTATTTTAAATACAATAATTTACTGAATTTCAAGGTTAAGGGAAATCAGTGTCGAATTTCTGTAGCTATGATATATGTGTAATGAAGAAATATTTTTGAATTAGTTGCTCGCCAAAGAGAATTGCTATGTGCCCAAACTGGTATTGGTCCTCAATGAATTCAAGACAGTGGTGCATTGTAAATCCTTCGAAGGACATTAAAGCATGGGCTTAAATAAATATTCTTAGCTGTAACCAAATTAAATCTACCAATCTTAGGCTGATAGACCATAATGAATTGAGAGAAGTAGTGTAATTAATATAAGCGCATGCATGTAATCAAGCGAACAGGAGCAGCAGTTTCTGAAACAGCAGTCAGATTTAACATTGATTAGTCGTCTGTGCTTCCCAATATATATTTCAATGTCTTAATTTTGGGCACGATTTGACTTTAAAACAAAAATATGATTGTAGAAGTGTCAGGTGTATTTTGAATTATACTCACTAAGAATTATTTGGAACTCATCATCTTATTAGGGAAATATACCTGTCTGGACGCCAGAGGAAAAATCTTCAGATACTTTTTGTTGAGTTGCCGATTAGATGAAATTTTATTTCCTTTAATAATTCTGAACTGTTTGAGACCTTTCCGATTTCAATTTATATCAGGCAGTTAATAATTGGTAACCATTAATGTGTACTTTTATTTCTGTAACTCATTTCTGCAGATTTTTTGATTTCTTATTGTGGGACAGTTAACTATTTGAGTAAATGGGCAATTGGGGTTGTCATTGTTGGAGCTAGCTAAGTATACTGCAGCATCTTCTCTAGCCCTGTAGTTTTATTTGTTCCAAATATTACTTGGAATTATCAAGAACACTGCTACTTCTCCAGTTCAAGTCAAATTTTTTAAAGGAAATGTGCTTTGGAAAACCATTTCAATGTTTTGAAGTGCAAGAATTTACTTATATCGGTATTGTAGTACATAATGATTATCAAGAGTTATAAATTTTCCTCTCTTCTACTTTGCAATTACAGCTCCAGCACTAGATGTTGACTGGCAAAACAATAACACATTTGCCTCCTGCAGCACAGACATGTGCATCCATGTCTGTAAACTAGGTGCAGACAGGCCCATCAAGACATTCCAGGGACACACGGTAATAATTATCCAGAACTGGACAGCTTTCATTATTGACCATTGTTTTTCTTCATGAAACTGTGTGTAAATGATGTGGTAAAGACCAATTAGACCAAGAGGTTTTAGATTTGAACTCTGATCCACAAATAGGTTACTGAACATAGCCCAAGTGATGAAAGGAATACTGCATTTTTCATCAGAATGCAGACTAGAGTGGGGGGAGGGGTATAATCAGACCCGTTCTTATACTTGGCTATCCAGTGATCCCTTTCGGAAGACAGAAGTATGTCTTTATGTCTGTCTTTGTTGAGTATAGGATTAGGCTTTGAAATTGTCACACATGAAAATTTGATATTGCTCATTATGTTGGGGCAACTGCCCAATGATGCAGAGTACTGAATAATTGCTGAAAATCATGAAACCATACTGAAAGATCAGTTGGTGCTTAATGAAGGATAAGAAGTGAATGGGGATTCTGGATATTTGAAACTAATGAGAATCGCATAATCTCTTGCAGCAGTAACATGTCTGCCTTGCATTATCTTTTAGTAATATGTCAAAATCTGCAGGAGCATGAGATGAATTTACTTTCTCATCACTGAAGTTGTCTGCTTCAGTTTTCTTCAGTATCACTGGGTTTACGATCTGCCAATGCATTGGGTCCTTAATTTCTTTTGACAATGTTTGTGTCATAGAGTCATAGAGCTTGAGAACTGATCCTTTGGTCCAACTAGTCCAGTGTTGTAGTTTGGGCCATAGTGCAGGTACTGGGACTTCCTTGAATAATTGTCTGATTATCAGCTTGCCTATTCTGCAGGAAGAAGATAGTGCGGAATGTGCAAACAAACTATTATGCAGAGTTAAAGGTCTTTCTTTACTGAAGGCCATATAGCATGGAAACAGACCCTCTGGTCCAACTTGTCCATGCTGACCAAGTTTCCCAAACTAAACTCGTCCCACTTTCTTGTGTTTGGCCCATATCCCTGTGAACCTATTCAATTCATGTACCTGTCCAAATGTCTTTTAAATGTTGTAACTGTACCTGCGTCTTCTACCAGCTCATTTCACATAGCCACCCTCAGGTCCCTTTTAAATCTTCTGGCTCTCGCCTTCTAAATACTCCGCTTAGTTTTGAACTCCCCCTTCCAGGTAGTTCAAGTTGGAAAGATGATGTCTCAGAAGCCTAGGTGTTTTGCTGCAGTTTTAGATGGTACACACTGCTGTCACTGTGCATCACTAGGAGAGGAAGTGAATGCTTAAGGTGGTGGATTGGGTACCAATGAAGCAGACTGCTTTGTCCTTGATGCTGTTGAGCTTAAGTGTTGTTGCAGCAAGTGGAGAGTAATCCTTATATTCCTGCCTTGTGACCAGCAGGTAGACAATGGGTTTTGGGGAGTCAGGAGGAGAGTTATTTACTGCAAAATTTAGTGATTCTGACCTGCTTTTCTAGCCACCATCTTTATATGACTGGTCCAGTTCAGTTATTGCAGCTCCCCAGGATAATACCAGTGGGAAATTCAGCAGTGGTAGTGCTAATGAACATCAAGGGGTGAGGGTTAGATTCTTTGGTAGGAGATGATAACTGTCAGGCACTTGTGTGGCAAGAATGTTACTTGCTATTGGTCAGTCCAAACCTGTATTGTTGTCTAGATCTTGCTAGATTTGAACATGCTTCCGCATCACAAATGATCCTGAATATTGTGCAGTCATCATAAAACATCCCCACTTTTGACCCTGCGCTTGAAGAAAGATTATTCGTGAAGCAACTAAAGATGTTTTGGTCTAGGACACCATCCTGAGGAATTTGGGCAATGATGCCCTGTGGCTGAGATGATTGACTTCCAGTGACCTGGGTTGAACCTAAACTATGCATCAATGAGTACGTTGTTGCTGTGCAAGTCCCATTTGATAGCACGGTAAAGGATAGACTGATGTGAGTGTAATCAACCCGTTTGGATTGTAACTGATTTTTGTCAAAAGGACATACTTTGTCAATTGTCCATATTGCCAGGTCGATGCCAGTATTGTAACTGTATTGGAACAGCTTAGCTAGAGGCCTTCACAGTCCTTTTCAGTATCTGTGAGATTTTGAAGATTCAGAAAGCTGTCCATTATTTCAGCATCCATTTTAAACAATATGATTCATTTTAGCCTCCTTATTATAATTCTTGTGTCTTCTCGAGATAGGGATACCTTTTAATATTTCAGCAAAAATCATGCATGTAAAGTATTGTATAGATGCTGCAATTTGGGACCATGTAGTGTGTGGTGCTTTTTAAACAGCTTTATTTGTTTCAGAGCTAGCAAGAAACCGAGGGATTGTTTTTTCTGCACCTTGATATCGTATCTCAGGGATGAGCCAACATTATATTCTTTCATCAAGTCTTCCTATTCTTACTCTTTGCAGTACCTTTCCAGATGCCCAATCTCTGTTGTAATGTCAGTACAATTCTTTGCACTTGTGGCCCCGTTCCTATCTGGGTCACCATAATAGCATGATGGGAG